AAGAGCAAAAGTGGTGAACTCCAGACTGATATCAGTTCTGAGCATAACAACTGAAAGGCTGTTACAAGACTCATTTGAGGTAAATAATGTCAGAAACACCATTCAAAAAGGTTAAAAACATAACCATGCTAAGTTGGTAAGAAAAAAGAGAGATTTTGACTGTGGTTGAATGAGATAAATGTGTTGGTTTAAAAAATTTCTGTAAACTCCCTGGCTTTGTTCTGCATGGCATTTTGACTAAGAAATTAGAACACTAGAAAATTACACTTGTTTACAAAATGGCTAACTGGCAGATCTGTGAATCTAATTAGCAGTAAGGCAGGTGTTTCTAATGCAAGAATAATTTTTGATATTATAATATTAAATTATTTCTTTCAGTTATCTGAAAGAAAACATATAATCATTTCTCATAAAGCTTGAACAACTACAGTTGGGGAACTCATGAATAATAAAGTGGTGGTTTACTCTGACAAAGTGATGTGCATTGCTTAATGATGGAGATGTAGGGAAGCATATATTTTTCAGCAGGGATAATGGAACATCTCTGTTGTGAAAATGCAGGCCCTTACTTACAGAAGGCAAGTCTTATTTGGGAATCAGTGTTGCTGAAAGACATCCATACCTTCTTCTAGACATATAGCTGCCTGTATTTTCCTACAGTGACAGTGAAGACAAAACTAGTGTGGTATTATTGCCTATCAAGGGTGGAAATCTCAAGTGTAAGTACAGGGAGCCTTTACTGCTGTTTCCTTTGACAGGTGGATGGTTGCTGCCAGAATTATACATCCTGCTCTAAAACTTTACTGCTCAAGAAGCATTTACAAATTGGGAAGGATGCAGAGAGGATCCATAAGAATGCTGAACTCTGGAAAACACTCTTCATAGAGTCAGATTTAAGGAGCTGAATGTATTTAGTTCTGCAAAAGGATGGTTAAAAAGTAACTTTATTCCAGCTTATGAGCACCTAAAGACAGGACAGAAATTAAACAGAAAATAAATGCGTCCTAAAGGAGAGATATTAGTTCCTCTGGGTAAGGTAAGTTAGCATTTGGAACACTAATGAAAAGTGTGATGTAACTAAATAAGGTTTGGACATAGTTCTGAACCCTTCCCCTCAACTATCTAAAACAGCAATGAATGGACAGAAGACTTAGGGAAAAAACAGGCTGTATAACCACAGCAGTTTATTCTTTCTGTGTCTATGAAACTCAGAGATACATGTCAGTCATCAGAGATCACCTATGAACTTCTCTGAAACTTTATTTTTTCTCAATTTTTGCTGCTATTGTTAACTGATACAATTTCAGATTTTTTGGCCAATGCAATACAAAGGATACAAAGACAGTTACTTGTGATGTTCACATCTATGGGCCACATGCTGCAGTCTGCACTGGTAATAGTTTATCTGCTGGGAGGACGGCTTATTTTGGCATTTCAGGGTAAACAAGACCATTATTTCATCAGAAACCAGTGGTAAGTGAGGCTCAAGTCCCTAGATTTTATTTCAGATACTCTTTACCATGCTATCTGTCCTCATGAAAAGCCTATGTTGGCACATTAAACTACAGCACGTGGTGCTTTTTAAGCCTCAAGCTCTGATTCAGCATTATTTGTTTTCATCAATATATTAATGCTGCAATGCTATGAAGTGAGTGTATAACAACAATTTTAAAGTGGAAGAAAAGTCTCTGAAACACGAAATAAAGCCAGAAAACGTTACTAAGTGACACTGCCTGTTGTTCTTTGCCACGTTGTTTTCTAATCACATGCCAAATTCTGCACACTTTGAAACTGTGAGTGCTCATGTTGACATTAACAGGAATTTCCCCAGGAGGAAGGCAAGATGTAATCAGTTCTCCATAGCTGACCACCCATTCCAGCATTTTTTAACTGCTTGAAGCCTTTGGCCATAACCTACATCTGCTCTGACTGGTTCTGCCCTTCCAACAAATTCACGGTTGTCAATGGTGCTGACAGCACTTGACACAATTCTTTATAGACCACACCAAAATAAGGAGAGGACACATTCTCTTTTATTTGAGCAAAGACAAGATTTGACATTTGTTTTGCTTATGTAAGGGAGATAGCCTGCTTTTCTTAAGGTTTTAGTGAGTATAAGTAAGGAATTCTAGAAGCTGGTGTACAAAAGAAATGTCAAGATGCTTCACCCCTGTTTAAAGTACTGACTGATTGCTGATGTATGCTACTTTTCCTTTGACAGCAGAATGCAAAGTTAAAACAGTCAGTGCACAATGGTTATGACAACACTCCTTTTCTCTACACCCTTCAGTAGCTCCCACTACCCTCTTCCTCCCTTTTTACAAATGCTCTTAAACAGCACTGATTCTAAAATGGATGGGAAGGATGGTTTGGTGATTAAAACACTGTGGTAGGACTTGGAAAACTATCATTTAATTCGGAGCTCTACAACAGGTTCCAGTGTGATCACAGGTGTGTTAATTAATCTCTGGTGTCTTAATTTCCTCCCTGTAAAAGGGGATGATGGCAAGCTGGTGCATAATTTTGAACAGATACTCCCCGAAGATATCTTGAAATGTGCAGTGGCTACTATGAAGGAACTCAGATCCCAAATGAAGCTGCCCACACAGCGTAGGATTTGAAGTGTGAGAAGAAGAATTTATGAACTAGATCAGTGGTTTAACCATCGATAGCTGAATGACGCAGTGTAGTCAGACATTCGATATTCCCTTCACTGCAGCTCCCTTCTAACAGTGATATAAGCATATATTTTTTACAGACTGCAAAACTTATTATTAAAAACCAGCCCATTAATGCTCCATAAACCTGCAATGATAGGAAATTGATGTTGGCCTATAGAAACACATTAATTTTCACTTGATTGCTAAATGATCCATTCAATTGCCTAAGATTCGTGACAACTAAGGTTCTACATTTGTAAGGATAAAATTATGTTTATATAATTGACAGTATAGATTATTCACAGAAACTGTAGAGAAAATGCTGCAATTTTTTATGCCTTTGAACTCTTTGGAGAAACAGCTTGTTCTTTTTCACAGGTGTTACGGTCTTGAAAATCACAGTGCAACTTCATTTTAAACTGGCTAAAATCCGAATGGAAATTATTGCTTTGACTGATGTCTGTCTCATGCAGAGAATTAGAAAGAGAAAAACACAGGTTATAAAAAGTCCACTTTGTGCCATATCTAACTACTTAAGGACTCTGCTGGTACACAGAAAAATGAAATTCCTCTTAAAGAAAGCTACTATTCCTTTTTCCAATTACTAAAGCACGTGTTTCTGCACACACTTGTTTGCATGTCTGGGTTTCATATTTATAAAAATGAGTCACAGCACATGAAGCAATTATATGATCAACACTCCGCAAAAGGTGAAGGAGAAACAGTCACATGGCCTCATGTACTCATGTATAATATTACTTGTAATTCCTTTTGGGTAAATGTGTACCCTGTACTCCTAAAAGTGCAAGGGAATTGTGTAAAACATACAGGGGTCTGAATAGCTCATCTTGCCATTGTTAGTAGTTTTATGAGTGTTTTCTCCTCGTTTTCTGCCAGCTCGTTTGGGACAGCTTCATACACGCATCAGCCAAGGTTTCTGCTCCCCTTACTGAGCTGATCAGCCTCAGGAGATCTGACTCAAGCTCAGGCTCTGTGAATCTGGGGCAGAGCATCATAGTACCATGGGAATAATGGTTAGAAGGGACTTATGCTTCCAAGGTCCAAAAATGTAATTTAACTGCTTAATATTACTTGTTAATTATTAATTCCTAATAACTAAGACATTTGGAGGACTCCTGGATGCCACGGTTAAGTTTAAGTGTCAGGCTCAATGCTGTATGAATAAAATACCTGAATTCAAACAAAGTTACTTTGACTTTTCTCCTTTGTTCAAATAGAAACAATGGCTCGTAACATTTTTTTTTTCTCCAGAACTTTCACATTTCCATTGCAACAGGAATTCTTTTTGATTGCTGGGACACGCTTCTGAAACCTAGTCACTGGCACGTTCAGCAGCATACCTTATGCTCTTTCCAGACTCATTAGATGATCTTTCTAGGAAATGTGGCTTCTGCTGAGAGTAAGAAATGTAAACATCCTCCTAGGCAGACACTTGGGATAGCCAAGGAATCCTTGTTTTCACAGTAGTTTCATAAATCATGCAGTTCTCATGACTCTTAAAGCATCTCTGCTTAAATTTTATCTCCACAAGAACACTTAGGATGATGAACTATATCACCCATACGCCTGATCTTGAAACATCTCTGCCTAATCTGCACTTTGTCTCTACAATTCTTAACCTGCAGTGCAACACTACAGAAACTTGTGAAATGGTGCACTTAATTTATAGGAAATAACAGCAAATTATTTACAGTGTTTTATCTGCAGTACATTTATTCTTAAAATGAAACAAAGCATTGCACATTGTATTTTCTTTTGCCTTTTCAGAACTAATCCTTGTAGCTATTTGAGTTTTTCTCTTTAATTTTATAGATTTTTGAATGTCTCCATTACTACCGAGTGACCTGAATTTTCTTTTTAGCCTACCACTGAAACGTGTGGTATCCAACACGGATCACACATTTGGAAAAATCCAACACAGATCACACATTTGGAAAACAAAGTTACACCTCTCTAAGTGTATGGATTGAGAAGAGGTAAGAAAATATATGGCATCAGAATGTGTATCTGTCAAAGTTCTGATAAATGTCAAGGTTCTAAAAGAACACCACATTTAGTAACTAGCAATAGCAGTAGTGGGAGATGGTTGTGGGAGAAAATTGTACACGAAAAGAAGAAAACACTGTGGTCTTGTACTAGACAGAAAATTAGATTTGTCCTCCCATTATTCTAGTAGGCTGGCAAAAAGCCTTAATTTATTTTGTTTATGCAAATGATATTTGTTTATGCAAATGATAACCAGAGGCCTATTTTTGTAGGCATATTATACTGCTCAAATGAATTTGCACATCAACCCCAACAGCAGCAATTGTACCTCCATTGTGCTACTGCCCTACTTAATGCTTCAGAAGATGTAAGTTCTGATGCACATTTTCATTGTGCATTTAAATTTTGAGTTTTTTTCTTCAAGGGATAAAACTTCTTTTGCCAAGACAGACATTTCTGGAGCTAACCTGTCAGAAAAAAGACTTAGATCATACACAGAACCTTTTAGTGAAGGTAAATATTAAATGACAAAGGTGATTTGCATTTCCCTGGTGGGCTACTGACAAAAATTGTATCGGGTCCTCATTTTCTCTGACTGAGAGTTAGAAAGTGACTCTCACTTTCTAACTGACTGTTATGGCTTCTATGACCTCCAGGCACCTCGTACTCAGCGTGGGCTTCTAAATTAACAGAAGCTGCACAAAACAATACAGTCCTGCTTAGTTCTGTAAGATAAATACCTTCCTAAGAAAGCATTTTAAGAAACACAGATAATGTTTCCCTCTGATATATCGTCTAGGAACTTGTTATTGTGGCTAACTCAGCTGAATTAATTCTATGTCCTCTTGATATTTTCAAGGAGGTGAGATTCTACTCCTCACGCACATTTGTACCAGTATCATCTCTCTGTCAAATTAATGTTCTTAGAAAACTTCCCATGGCCTTTCTTTCTGTTATTAGATAACTGTTTTAATACAGTGACTAATACAAAATACTGATTTTGAAATTATTGTATAAAAGAGCACTGAAAAAAGAAAAACACAGTTGAGCGTGAGGAGTCAAAAGACAAAGGTAAGGGAGTTTTGATTGTAATGTGTTATGATCTTGAACTTGTTCTCTTGCTCTTGTCTAATGAAGATCTCATGTGATACATTTTTCTGAATCTTTGTGGGCAAGGGTTACATTTGCCTTCTTGACTTGGGTGTATTTTGCTGGAGCAACTGCATCTCAGCATTGCCTTTGAGCTATCTTTGTTTCCAAGTACATTGCACCCTGCTCAGAGCAATAGCCTACCGCAGGTCTCTGATATGTGGTTCCCACTATGCATACACTGTGGCAAAACAAGCTTTCATTTTTCTACCCTTTTAAATTTCATTTTAAAATGGGGGTTTCTGTGCAGCAAGTGTGCTGCCTTGCATGTAACTATCAAACAGATAAGTAGCATATGCCTCACAACCTGGTGAACGAAGAAAACTAAACACATTCCAAAGTGAATGCTATGTTTCCAGGGAAAGTGTTGAAAGGGTTCCTTTTAATCAATCTTTCTTCCTTTCAAGAAAGGAAGGGCACACATTGGGTCCTGCAAGCTCCAGCCAAGAGGTGGCGTTAAGGCGCAGTTCTCTTACCAAAACCCCATTTATTCCCCAAAACCCGTCTGAGCAGCAGTATGCCTGATGCCCAGAGATACACGAATCAGTTAAGGAAATGAAAAATACGGTATGGAATATCAAGGAATTCAAAGGGCCAGCAGTCTGAGTTTAGACTGGAAAACTAAAGCAATTTATGCCTTCAACAACCTTGCCTATCAGCGAGTTAGCTGACAACTCTGCAGGTCAGAATGTGTCTGTGCAAACAGGAACCAAGTGCTAGATACAGCTATTAAGTCAGACAATAGATTAGATACTAGGTACTACTGTCTTAACCACGATGAAGCATATTTTTGGCACATACATGCCTTTTCAGAACACCATCATAAAAGAAGACAAGTGTTTCCAAACCAAACAAGTGGAGCCAGACCTATTTTCAAAACAAAACAAAATGAAGCTACTCACATTTAACACTGGTATGCAAACTCTTCGGTGCAGATGAATCAACAGCAGCTGTATTAACAAAAAGTAGGTTCAGTCCAATGAAACACTAGCATAATAAATAATTATATCAAAATGTGTAGAGATGAAACTGATCATCCCTAAGGTGTTGAATTCCCTCTGGGAATATGATACTAAACTGCATAATATTAGCATTATTAATAGTATACATCTGCAGATGACCAAATCCTATTGTTTCCCTCTTGATGTATACAATTTTCTTCCTATTTTCTTCTATTATCTTTGCCAATGGTCAGATCTCAAAAGCTAGCATAGCTTAAATGTTGTCAGGTTAGTTGAGTTATGCCAACTACAAGTATAGTTGCAATGATATTAGATGAGGAATTGACCCCTTGTCTTGATCTGTGTAAGAGCAAAAGCGCCTCAGCAGCACTGTTACTGGTTCAGTATCAAATCTGGGTCTGAATTTTGTGGCTTTCGACCATCTCTACTTAGGTATAGAAATTAGACCCAGTACAGCTGCATTTATTAAACTTAATTTTAATTTACAATTTAAGAAAAGCTTTTCGTAATGGCACCTACTGCTGCCCAGAAAGTTGGTATTTCATGGATGAGTAGTACAGCTGCTATCAGGCAGGGGAAACTGCTCTGAGTGTGATTCAAATTGTCCTGAGGCTCAAGGTCATCAGTTTGTCATCATCTTTCTATCAAAAGGAGTTATTTGAATACACAATTACATAGGCAGTTTTGAACACCAAGTTTTCTGTTATTTGGTGATTTGGTTTTCGTTGTAAAAGATTAAATGAAGTAAGCTTCAAGGAATCAAGCCCTGTCACTACTGATGCACAGTCTTCATTAAGTCATGTGTCCATACAGAAGATGGTAAGGATGTTAATGGAACTCTATGTCAGATTACATATCCCTGTATATAACTCAGGTACATGAGGAAATACTATTTTTGACTCTGGAGGGAAAAGCAATCACCTAGAAGCTCAATATTCCAGTTGCATTTGAAGGACACTGACTGAATTTCCATCTTTCACTTTTGTGATTTCTGTCAAATGTCGCAGCAAACCAGAGTTTGTACAAGTGCTCCAAAGTTTCAAACATGCAGGGCTCTCCACCATCTAGAGTGAGACCAAATAGGTTGTATTTTAAAAAGCAGCTGTATTCTAAAAATTGGAGAATATTTAGAAGGATGCTGGAGAAGGCCTTTAGACAACCCTGACCAGATTTTTCAGAGGAAAGAAATTCTATAATCTCCTGTAAAGATGTACAGAACATGTGGCAAATCAGCATTTCAGAGCCTCAGGTAAGTACAGAAGAGAACCTTGACATCCTTGCAACATTGCAATTTTTTATATGTATGCAGGAGTTAGCTCTACAAGGAAAACCCGTGTGAATGATGGACACTATAATAAGTAAAATAAGTGTTTTAAGATTAAAGGTTCCTGCTATAATACACTCCAAATCTGACTTTCGAGAACTGTAAGTTCAGATTGTGAAACACCTAAGAATTAGAAATTTTAGCCACTGAAAACTTTGATTAGCACCTACTGTGAGAAACTCCTTCCAGATTGACTGAATTCTGCTGCAGAGAAGCAGGACTGACATTTGAGAAAAAGAAAATTGAAACCTGTTTTGGAACAAAGCATTTGGCTCCTTTTATGCTAAGAATCTTTTGTGTGTATTTTCTTCTGAGCTTTAGGAATGTAATAGACAGAAAGACTGCAAAACATCTCTGTTAATTTTATTTTTTGATCTTTGCTCCCTCATTTAGACATCACCAGTTGAGAATAAAATAAATTTAAATTCTATATGACAGTCTTTGCTGCTCTTAATTAGTCCTGGTGGTTCTGTATATTTCTAAGCAATGCACTAGAAGATGAATTCTGCAGTCCCTGGAGTTCTCTGTTTCTGTGATATTGGCCATGCAAAAGCAAAATCACTTAAGTACAAAAGTACAGAGCAGCAATCCAGCCTCCAGCTCCCAATATGAGTGGGATGGTCATGAACCTCAGCATGGTGGAGGTCATCAATCTTTCAAAGAGTGGTTCTGATACCATGATAAAAAGATGTGCTATATTTGAGTCAGGTCATTTTAAGATGATGCATTTGGCACTGCAAATTGATGAAAAGGATTGATCTTCTGGCAAAAAACCCACAGCACCAACCTCATTTATTGTTCAACACCTATGTGTTATTATAAAGCTCACTGCATGTGATCAGTGAATTGTTTGGTTAGAAAACCTTGTGAGCCCAAGGGCTGGAAGTCTTGCAGTAACCTAATTACAACTATGACCATTCAACTCCAGTTGTTTCATCTGCACCTGAAGCACCAGGAAGTTTACACAGCTCCAGACAACTGACAAAGGACATTTTTTTTAAAAAATCCAAATTCTGTTTCTAGTGGTTTGCAGCTATTTGCAGGAGGGAGAGTATTTGAAGAGGCCTCAAGAACATAACTACATGTGGTTAATGGAACTTCCCTCTAGGTTACTTAGGACTAATACCATAATTTTCTAAACATCAAAAGATGTAACCTCACTGTTACTCTTCAATGGTTTCTTCCAATTAAACAAATACCTGCCCTACTGTTCTCATTTTACCTTTCCTTTTAGTCATCGGTCATATACATCTAAACAGAAATTATGAATAAAATAACACGGGGAAATTAGCAATATTTCCCTTCCTAACACAAACCTGTCATTTTGACTCTATAAACTTTACATCTATATACAGTTGGGGTTGCTTCTCCCCAGACAAAGTTACAGTTTCAATTGAGTGTTCTACATATCTCTTAAGGCACATCATGTTATACCTCACTTTTAAATTCTCCTACGCCTGTTGAGTTAGCGACAGAGAGAGGGAGGAAAGAAAGGGGAAGAAATTCAGAAGCCAGCCAAAAATAGGGACAACTAACATATCTTTGACTGTGATTTTATCTTTTACTTACAAAGATACTGTGATAATTAAAGACTTGACGCACCTTTGGCAGACATCAGTTTCTTGAAATGAGCAGCCATGTGATCTTGAATGATGTACTGGTTGGAGAGTTTGCAGGAAGGTCCGGGAGAAAAAGCTGCGAGCCGGAAAAAACTGAGTTTACTCAGTGGGGCAAGCAATGTTTCAGGTAATAATGGATCTGAAAATACAATATTTATCCTCTCCTGCTTGCAATAAAATCAAGTCAATATGCATTCTTATATTTCAAAAAGTAAGAATAACACAGAATGTAACATGAAAAAATGGTAAATTATTCTCAGTGTTCATGTTTTTGAATACCTGAGAATTATGGTTTGCAATATGTAATGTATGAGCCTTTGATATTTTTGAACTCAAGAGAATAACAGAGGATCTCACATTTTAATATCTGATATAATAAATATAAATATATAAATATAAATAAATAAAAATAATAAATAATTTTCTTTTTGAAAGATTTAATACCAGAGAGTCTTAAATAATAGTAGAGAGCATTAATGCTATTATTAATGCTAGATAGTAATATTAGAGGATATTACAAAGTACTGCAAAAAACTGCACATTAATGTCTCACCTCTTGGTCATACCAGACCTAACTCTGGCACTCTACAGTTAGGAAAATGGACTGGATACAGACAAATACGGAATTCGGGCCAGAAAAGGAACCAGACCACGGAGCTGAAATGTGTTACACACAGACTGACCATAACACTCCTCTGAATCTCTAAATCGCAAGACTTCTCAGGCTCAGAAGAATTTGTCTCTGTGTCTGACCTAAGTTCATTAACCCAGGAAAAAAAGTCAAGAAGTAGATAAACATTTACTTGTTTTAAATTTTAACGTGGCAGTGTGGCTGAGATAGATAATTTTCTTTCAATCTGTTTCCAAACAAAAATATTATTTCTTTCTCAAGTCCTCTTAATTCCTAAACAGATAGGATTTGTAGATGGAAAGTTGCTAGCACATAATATTAAAAAATCAACAGAATGCAGGAGATCAGAAACCTAATGTGCCTTTGGCTTTCCATCCATGGACCCAGAATGACCCTTACACTTGAGATAATCAGGTCATCCAACCTATTCAGATTTGGTTCTCTGAACCAAAAAAATAATTGTTTGTTTCATTGTTCATGTCCCCAATGTACCATTTCAGTTAATAACTTAGTTTCATAGTTTTTAAAGTGTTTTGAAAAAATAGGAGACCTTGGGTTGAGAGTCTGGAAATCAATCCTTCTAATCTCAGTTTGGCTGCATACTTGCTGTGTTGCTTTCTCTTACCTAAATCTCTTGTCTACTAAGTGAGTCATTGCTACAAACTGTTTTTCACTGCCAAGGAGTTTGACTGCATTCAATTTATTGTGTTATCTTTTGAACTTTAAGAAAGAGCAGGACAGAACACCTGATGCTAGGTTTGTTGCTTCATTTAGTATTACTTCTTCATGTGCTCCTACAAGTAACTCAAAGCCTGCCAGAAGGGCACTGACATAAAGACTTGATTTCAGCAGTTTGTCCAGGAGCAGCAGGACATCCCAACATGACCAGCTGCAGAAAGGTACTGTTACTTCAGCTCCAGGACCATCCCTTTGATTGTTCATCACACATGTTGGCACAGCCAGAGCGCTCACATTGTGATGTAAGGAGGTGCAGAGACATCAACAGAAATAACGATTCTATGTTCGCTATAAAGCAATGGAGAACTTGGTGCAGTATTATGACCAAACTGCATTTACCTTTTGTCTCAATTAAATTGAACATGAGTAGTACAGGTACCACAATGGAATCCAATACTTGAAGCAGACAAATACAAAGCTCACAGACTTTCTAATCATGACCATTTACCATACGTCCAATTTCATTCAGGGAAACCACTCATGGGTGTCCATACTATGCTATAGAAATAAAATAGTTAAAATCAGTACTATTCTGTTTCAAAGCTTTTATGTGCTTGAGACCAGTAGTTGTTCACCCCAAAACTTCTAAAACTTAATTTTTTTTCATTAATTTTGCCAATTGTTCTGTAGCCTCCTGCTGGCAAAAGCAACTGGAACAAGCTCTTCAGTAATATACAGCACCATTCCCAGCTGGTGGAAAGTGGGGCAGCCCTCCTGAGTTCAAGGAATGGCAGTGCCCTAAATCACAACAGCTAGAGGCTCTTGTCACTAAGGGAAAGAAAATAGATTTTGGTAAATGCCCCAAATCCTTCCCTGATTGGCAGTGACAAGCTGATTTAAATATATGCAGTGAAAAAGACAGCATGACAGAAAAACGAAGTGATAATCTAAACAATATCCAAAGATTAAAAAGGGATGGAAAATCCATTTATAAAAAGAACATTCTTCTTAAAATGAATAACCACCCCAAATTTGAAATGCTAAAGATATACAAGGCACTAGTAGTTTAATCTAATTTTTGTCTCTCATAAAATCTAACTCTATCCTGTGTCCAGAAAATTACTAACATTGTGCAATAAGCAGCATTGTGGTTATTCCTATGTAAGGGAAAAAAAAAAAGCAAATTATTTTCTTTGCCAGAGACTTTCTGTTGAACTTTGGTAAGTCATTTTGTGTTCTCGTGTCTTAATCTCTCTGAAAAGAGAACCTGAAAAAATACATCCCTTTCTCAAAGAAAAGGCTTTAAGGATAAAAAAAATGAAATGGTGAAACTTAAGGGGTGCCCAATTAAGTATCTCCCACTGTTAGAGAGGGTGATCTTATTTGAACTCGCTGGAAATTTCATATTTTTAGACAAATTTTTCTTATGTTTTCTTTGAGTAACTTCAAATTGAGGGAAATGGGAAATAGAAATTTTCTGGGAATTTTAAGTAGCCCTGTTATAAGGCACTGTTGATGGTGCAAACACACATCAGGTCAAATTGAAACAGCCCTTTGTGTGCTGTTATGACAGGCAATATTCTTGAGCCCATATTTGCACAGAATCCAAGTTTTGTATTTTCTGCTGCCTTACAAAGATCTCTTTTACCTGCAACATTCAGCAAAATGCTTGATCTAAGCTTTCAACGTTTCAGAGTTTCAGCATTTTCTATATACAAGCACAGTTCTACGTACAGAACGTTGCCTGCTTCTGAAAATCTTTCCAAACTCTGACGACTATTGTCCGTTCAAGATATTTACATCTTACTTCTACGTATGAGGAAAGATCTCCAGGAAACCAAGACCCAGGAGTGAGCAATAAAGAAGAGTGACAACTCTCTCAGTAGTGACTCTTTTTTATTTCCTACTTTGAAATTACTTTCTTAGCAATTTATTGTGGTCCTGAATGTGTAGTTGTATGGTGACTAATTTACCTAGTTTCCACTGATTGAATTGCAAGAGATTACTTCTGCAAATCATGTCCTGAAAATATATCATGTCTAGAGGTACAACATCATATCATAAATCTAGTTGTAGCAGTATTAAAGTTTTACTGATACACAATGACAGTGATAAAACACATCTTTTCCTGAAAAACAAAATATGCTTTTGAAAAACACAAGAGGTGACTTTGCTCCTCATCAGACTGCTGATTCAAAGCCGTTACTTTTTGCCTTATGGGAGTAAAAGCCTGTTCTCACTAACATGCCAATTATTTTACTCTTTTAAAGACGAGTATAACTGCAGTGCTGTTATACTGCAAATAGTTTATAACATTCCGAATTGCTAATTCCTACAAGTGGAAGTGTTACAACATGGAGACAAAGCCATATGTACTTATAACCAAATAAAATATGGACTTACAACCAAATAAAAAACTGTTCAGGGATACTGAAGCCTCAAAAGCATGGAAATATCCAATTCTTATCTACCCTTCACAGTATTGGAAGTGGGAACCATCTCTGCAACATCCTTGGCTTTGCCTGTAGTAAACTGGTACTGCAAGGAAAGAGCTATCTTGTATATTACTGAGATATTAGCAATTAGCTAACAGCTAAGACATTAGCAATTATCATTAGCAGTAATTCACAGTTATGGTCCTGCAATCTGTTTGTGTCTGGCTACTTCCTCATCTTGTATTTAGACCCTAAATTTGGAGGGGAGAGGGGCCATCTCTTTGCTCAGTGTTTGTCTCATGCTTAACAAGGTAGAACACCTGCCCACCATGCAGGTAACAGAGTAACCACTGTGAAAGTCTCGAAGCAAAGTGACCCAGTGACTGGCTGACAAATGTTTTGCAACTCCTCTTACTTCGGTTCAGTAGCATAGTCATCTCAAGCTGCTCCCCTCCTGGCTAAGAATTTCTGCCTATTTTCAGCTACAGGAAGAACTGGCAGGCATTGAGCTCTGGCTTATGCTTTAAGCATCGAACAGAGGTTTCTCTGCTTCCGTTCCCTTCGGAAAATACATATATATCACTTCTAGAGGAAACCAACATGACAGGCTGCTGAGGTGAGGACACAGTAGGTGTCCTCCTCATGGGGGTTCTATTGAAAAGGTGGGAAGAGGAGGATGGTAGGACAATACCCTCTAGGCTCTGAAATGCAGAGGTGCCTATTTGAAGAGAGTGAAATGCCTCTGATTGCAGCTGGGCTTCATCAAGGGACAGAAGAAGGGCAACAAGGACAAAAATGGTGGGCGGTGGTACCAGGTAGTAGTGGTGGTGTGTTTGCCAGCATTTAATTAAGGACTGAAACTATATTGGACCTGAAGAAGGTATAGTGGAACAGCATTTCTGAAAAGGGAAGTTTTAGGCAGAACAGCTTTCCAACAGTTCTTCTACAGGTGCTCAACAAAGATCCTGACCAGGAAAGCTGCTTGGCTAAACTAGAGAGCTAAGATTTTTGTAATAGCAGCTATTAGAAAGACTTATCTACTTTATACCGAGACTTATCTACTTTATACTGTTTCAATAATAAAATACATATTTTTAATAATCTCTTTATAGTCAAGCTGTTAGTTCAAAATTGGAGCACTTGGGCACCTTTCAAGTAATAATTTGAATACTTACGGCTACTTTTGAGACTCATGTGTCCTCTGAAAGGTCCCATCAAGGAGTAGGTAGGCACCATGGCTATCTGGGACCCCTGGTAGGGAAGGAAAATGTATTTGTTATGTATC